GCGGTCGGCGTGGTCGCGCGGTCCGTGTGATGGGTTATGCAGCCGCACTAGCTGACAAGGTCACAAGGAATGGCGAGTGACTGTAACCTGAACAGAGCGCTGAACACAGATTCTTTCACAGCTGTGTTGAGAAACACTGGATCGGAGTAAGCTTAGGCTTTTCGGTCTGCCTTGAGAATTCTGTATCGAATGGTGTCACACAGAAAGGCAATCGACTCGATACGATTGAATTAAACGCTTGCGCTTAATCACAGATGCCAGTGAAAACGGTTAGTGATGGCACAGCCTCTAATCGTAGAAGATATTTCCACGTATGATGGATCACTGTGTAGAGCTGGTAAATCCGGTTCGAATGAGCGTACAGTGACAACGCTGCGAGAAGATGGAGAGAGGATAGAGGGAAATAATCCAAATAAACCAGTAGCACGCACGTCACGCGTGTGTGAGGATGACCTCCTTAATGAGACACCATCCACCATCGCCTCGATCGCTGTCAAACTAGGAGCACTTATGGCCTCCAGTATAATCAAGATTACTGTGCCATCTGCTGTCAGACCAAAGAATACAGCCACACGCACCCCAAAAAACACTAGACAGTATCATAATTCTGCTACTCTTTCTCCTTAACCGTTTCTGTATCTAAGGCGAACACCGTAAAAAGCAAGATGCTAGAGGACCAGAAACAGTGGGATGTCATCTGTCAAATAATTGGAGTCCAAGCAAAGCCATCTAGTATGATGGGCCTCGGGCATCACTTAAACTCGGCACACTACGATGAACCACGACTGATCCAATTAACACTTCAGTCAGGAGGTGTTACATAGACCGTTTTCTTGTCAGCCACTCATCTCCGAACAACTCAATGCACTGTTTGTATTTTCCCCCAAGTTCCATGGAGCGATCGCCGGAAGCGTACACTAAACTCGGACGACTACCGCAAACAAATAGATGTGAAATCGCCCCATATCCAAGGTGTTCCCGAGCTTCAGAATATAGGCAAACTAGTAACTAAGGCGCATTATTGCGATGAATATGGCTTCATCCGTGAGATACTCGCACTCGAAAATGCGATCGCCAATTCGATCTCTAGCTTACCATCATCATCCAACTACAGAAGCAGAAGTCCACAAGTAATAAAAGTGACACTACAAACCAAACCCATGGCGGAAAAGATGGTGGAAACATGGCTAACATTGTACAAGACGCTGCATTTCAAAATACCTATAATATCGAATAATATCAGACCACAAATCGGCGGGATGACGCCGAAAACGCAACCTTTGTGTGCGCCCCTGTCAACCTGCTGTTCAGAACAGGGATGTAGTCAAAACATTTCGTAAGCTGAAGTGTGTCTAGGTTTGCAGGTGTTTACTGATGCCGAGATCTACATATGCCAACCTGAAATTACCACGTGGCCAGTGTTTGTGGTTCAAAAAGTACCGACAGCTAAGCTAACAAGGCTCGGCCTAATTCCACACCCAGAATCCGCATCTACAAATACACTGCTAACCTCTGAGACCCACACCTGCTTGTACACCAGTGCTCTAGATCTTCTCAGTAAGTCAAGCAAGCTTTGTACTCTTTACACTCCCACTCCTTGGGAAATCGTCATGATGGCTGAAACATGACCGAATACTGGGATCACTGAGGCCGAGATAGCCCTGCCCGGCAATACTCTCCTACGAAACCATCGATCCAGCAAAGAAAGAAGATTGCTCTTGTACTACCGAGCTGACCCACACATAGATACCATCGACGGTCCAGAAGCGTAAGTTAACGATTCACGCTGGTGCCGCCTGCAACGGAAGCGTCTTGATGTGTGCTTACTGGCAATTATATACCGTCCTCCGATTTCAACCCTAAAAATGTAGCACAGCCTGGCGTATGCTATGAAACAAATCGCTGAAAGAATGTGACAGTAAGACGTCATATTCTTTTGGTGGATGACTTCGATCTACACGCAATCGAAATCACAGCTTCGATCCGCGACCAATTCGAAGCTGACTTTCAAGAAGTACTCACCGATATACTCCGATATACAACCACGTTACCGCTCCTATGGGATTCGGAACTGGCGACAATCTGACCTTATGTACACTAACGAGGAACTAATGATTAATGCAGTAAAGATAAGTGCGCCGCTTGGCCGTAGAGATCACACGATGCAGTTATTTCGCTAAGTCTGCTACGCCGAATACTTTTGTGAAAACAGTGAGGAAGTTCATGATTTCCCCCATTATGGTATACTCCCTAGTCTCGTTCAACAATTCAACTAGTTTCTCCTAGCTGAGCAGCCTCGGGACGTCAACTTGAAGGAATCTGTCACCCTGTTCAGCGCGCTTTTGTAAACTGCGCCTGCAACAAATGAAGTCCTTCCTGAAGAGCCGGATACGAAAATGCATGACCCTAAGGGATTCGGCCAGGCACGCTTATGAAGCCTATCTGGAGGCGCAGGCCTGGGGTGCTTAAATAACTCAGGAAATCACTGTATCAAAGACTGTGTCCAAGACAAACTCAAACACCAACAGCCGTTATCAACAAAAGTCACTACTAATCCTAACATGCTCTACAGGCACGTAAGCCGACTCCGGAGAATGCAGCGCGGGGTCCAGATTCTACGTGTAGCAGATAGTCTGGTGCCCAATACGCAGGATGGGGCGAACGTACTTCGGCAACAGCTCATCTGCGGTTTTTAGTCGTCACCTCACCCGTTCATGACAGCTCACTACGCCCCCAGGAGTAAGTCACGTATTCCTCCCTGCTGCATGTATAATGAAAAGGCTACTGTGCCTGCGCGTGCACAGCTCCCCTTGTGTGGACAAATCAGACCGAAGGCATTACAAACAGTCGCCACTAGCCATGCCGAACCGTGCAAATCGCTGCTCACCCTAGCCTCATATAAGCGATCGAGAGGTCATAACCTCAAGCTGATAATCCAACACTTCCGATTAGACTGTAGAAAATATTTTTACTCTCTTAGAGTCTGTTCACAGTGGAATGACTTGCCAACACATGTGGTAAACGCTCCGAACTTTACCATCTTCAAACAATTGTTAGACATTCATATGAGTGACAAACAACACATTGTGGTGTGATGTACTAGGTTTGGACTATTGGCATTTCAGTTCCATGTCGGAATCTAATGATTTTTATTTATTTCGCATTTATCATCCTATGGGTCTTGTAAAGCCAAGGCTTTTTATCCCATCATACACTATTGAACTAATTAACTATCCTAATTAATCTTTGAGGAAATGCAGATTCCGACCATGTCGAGATAGGGAATAGTGACTAGTATTTTCAAGAGTGGAAGTCGTGCAAGGCCTTCTAACTACCGTCCAGTCACCCTGCTCCCGGTATTATCCAAAGTTATGGACCTCATAATCTCAGTGGCGCTCATAGGATATCTTGAGAGCAACATCATTGTGTCACATCAGCATGGATATCTACAAAATCGATCCTGCATTACAAACTTGCTACTAGCCTGAGCAAGTTGCACGAAGTCAGCCGATGTCAGAAAAGGAGTTATCGTCGTATGCCTGAACTTCTCTAAAGCATTGGATCGCTTGGACTACCGCATTTTTCTTCACAAACTTCGAAGCTATGGAATCGGTGACCCTGTGTTAGGTAGGGAAAGCAACTTCCTAATTCAACGTCAGCTGAATGTGAGAGTCCGCAGATCCATCTCCGACCCAATTAAAGTCCAGTGTGGTGTGCCCCAAGGTTACGCCCGGGGACCATGTTTGTTACTAGTATTCATCAACGATCTTGCTAGAGTGCTGCAGTCAGACTTCTTACTATTTGCATACGACGTCACGATCTGGCATGACATCAAGAAAGTTGGCGACCACGCGGCAATACAAATAGCTCTCAAAAAGGCCTACATGTAGTCTTCAGAAAACTGGCTCCAGTTTAAATTAGCGAAAGGCAATGATCTGCGCATATACCATCAGTGAACTCACGAATATCGACTGGAAGCGCGGCTCTGGCATCACGCTATGCAAGAAATCTACCCCGGTGTTATCATGCAGGACAACCTTGGATGCTCGAAACAGGCCGAAAAGACATCGAGAAGATCCAATCGACGCCTTGGTCACCCACGAAGGTCGTACTGGAATGTCGAGTCATCAATCATTCCACAAATGCCGTACGCTTACATGTGGCCCCGCATGAAGTACGCGATCCACGCCTGGCGACCTTGGCGCAAGCACGATGCACCTACGCTCGAAACTTCACAACGTATGTAGACAAACATCACTAGATGACCGTTTCACCTCTCCTACCAACTCAGACTGCAGTCCTAGGCCTGCACAGCGTCAATACCGGCGCATGCAAGACCTTACTAAGGTGTAACAGTACTGACTAACCCCAATCACGTCGGTCGCGATCGGTTGCGAGTTATCCACATTTCCAACCTCAGAGGTCACCAGATCTAACTGACGACACACCACAGTTGACTTGATTGTCGACAAAACTCTTTCTCCCTTCGAGTATCCAGACTGTGGCATGCTTTTCCATCTCACATTATGTGCGCTCTCAAATTAAAGAATGATTGAACCGCACTTTATTCCATTTACTTTACGCTAGATAGTTGGTTTCTATCGAAAGACAAATTAACGCAAACAGTGTGCTCACTAGCCATCTTCGTTAAGTGACGATGAACAGACCAGCGTGTGCTTTATGTGAACACTTTAGTGAGTCATTTCAAACCAGAACTTTTCTTTTTCCTGTCCCTATAAACAATAATTTGTATAACCCCTATTTTACGAGACTTGTCAATCAATCGCTTTTTTTACCCGTCATGAATCCTTGTTCATTGACCAGACTGACCACTTGACAAGCTGCCCATTACTGAAATGTTTGTCATTGTTGCTTGGTAGTGTCTTGGAATGAAAACAGTTACCTGCCTTTTTATAATCTTGTACATCAAGTTTGTGCTTCCTTTCCGGCTACCATTGCATACTTGAGTTATGCAAACATTATTTCTCTAACCTCTAAAGATCCACTGCATTCGTGAGCACTACGGATACGGTACGAGCAACACTTCTCACAGCGGAGATGTACGGAAGGCCGCTTTGGAGGCTGGGCATCTGGTTTATCTCATTTTTCGGAAGGTAAGCAATTGTATGGCTAAATCATTTTGCTGACACATCTGTATAGTTTTGTTGTTTGTGCAATGCTGTTTCTTGTGTGGTTGAGGTTAGAAAGTCAAAAGTTGAATTAACGATGGAAAAGAAACAGAACTTCGAACAAAGCTTGCCAAATGGACAACGACATCTCTGGGTCTGAAGTCTAGCCAGCCGACTCTGCTATGCAGTTCAAAGACCGACGCGACGCGTAAAATAGTTGCATGCGCCAATGAATTTCGTTGTGGTGGGCGCTGCAATAAGATTAGATAAGCAGAAAGAAAGGATAGACAGCAAAATGAACCAAATAGCCAACGAGGCTGTAGAACTCGCTTAAGAAAATCGGAGTGTATTTTAGTCCCCCTGCATTGTAAAGAAGAAAAACATTCGAGTCTCCAACTGCTTTCAGTAACTTACAAACAACAGTTAGGAGAACTACCGTATATTTTGTCGGACGATTCAATTTAACACATTTATTCATTGCATTATGAGTAATGTTTTATGAGTACTACTATCAGTTATGAATTACAATCCAGAGCTTCTCATTTTGATGTGATTCATTTGAGTAGCATCCCGCTTGAGTGGCGTCAAAGTTAGGACGGAATCTGTTCCCCTTCTCCTAACGCACAGCTGGTTAACTGGCTTCAAATGCCTGATTTGTCTGATCGGCTTGGGGTGTGCTCACCTCCACCGCCAGCCAATGACCAATGTCAACAGCTTGAGGTCGGTGTGAGCACCATGGGTGAGGCCACGACCGCCTCCGGAAAGTGGCGGTGCGTCTCCACTGTGTGATTCGCCAACCAATAAGGGGGTGGACGCATATACTTAAAGTGAATGGAATCGGTGAACAAGCGACGGTTTTGTGCTAAGAACCCGCTGGTGCACTAAGTCGTTTGATGCGTATATTTAGCACAGGGTGCCCACAGCTGCAAATTCACCCATCACGGGTGCAAAAAGCGCATTTCTGACCTATATAGATAAGGATCTTCCCCTCCGTTAACGCAGGAATTGCAGTTTGACGGCAACGCACGGTCTGGGCTGTGAGTATCAAGGGCGATGGGCAAAACAAATTGTACCCAAGCAACCGTGGTTCTAGATAAATGACTGTAATAAAAATGGCAACGTATAATTTACGAATAGGTGAATGAACTCGTAGGTACAGGGCGTTTTTTCATCATGTTCGAAACCGGGAGCCGCTGCACTCAGGCGCTGATGTACCCCGGTACACTGAATTGCGAACTGTCCATTGGCACAAATTTCTCTGCCGGCTGGGGTGACACGGGGCACAGAGGTATGACATGTGTGTGAGAAGTATACGTTAGCAAACACCGCAGCCGCAACCGACCTGTTATGCTTGGATCGCAGGGCAAGACTAAGGGAACGCAATGAATGCGTCATGCCTCGACCGCAGGGTAAGACCAACAGACGTGTCATAATTCGATCGATCGGTAGTCGGCCTTCACGCAGGTGAAAAAGCCAACAAAAGGGTTCCCTGCGAAGAGGTGGGTCGCTGTGCTAGGAATTGAGAAAACAGCCTGGCCGTATATGATGCCCGGTCGATGGGCGCCGTAACGCTATCGCCACAAAGGCTGTTATCGTCTTATGCTGGCATCCAACACAACCGTCAGCTTTTGTTAGGCTGCTTGCACTGCTAAAGGCAATCATACTGTCGGGAGCACATTGTAAGCTTACAGTGTTGGTCGCTTTACCGTTTCGATCACGTGCGTGTTAGAGCTGAAAATTCACCCTTCATTGGTGCATATAAACGAATTCTTGGCTTGACTTGACGTGACAATGCTCTTAGATCTCAGACTGTCCCGAGGCACTAGTGGCACCATTAGACAGCACACCAATTTATTCATGAATTCAACTATTGTCCTCACATTCAGACAATTGCTAATTGTACAAGTTGATCAGGCCTTCGATGGTATTTCCCATGTACAATTGAGAATTTACATTTAGTCATTTATTTACTTATATTTACATAATATGTATGAAATTGCTGTAAATATCAACATGTTAGATGTTCGAAGTACCCTGCGTCGTTTTGGCTACCGAGGAGCATTCGCCGGATGGTTTTGGCGAGCAATTCTGCAATGTCTCCAATAAAATCGGCCTATTTTATCCACAATGTTCTCGTTCAGTTCATCCAAGTTATTGAGGTTCGTTATGTTAACTCTGCGCTCCAAGTATCCCCTTTGGAAAAAATCCAGAGAACTCAGATCCGGTGACAGCGCAGATCACTCTATTGGTCCTCTGTGATCGATCCAACATCCACCGAAAGTCTCCTTCAGGTAGGTACGAACCGATAGCGCTGACTGTGCACGTGCATCATCCTGCTGCCACCAGATGTTATTCATTAACCCTTCCGACTGTAGCTGCGGAATGACGCTGCTCTGCAATATTTTCATGTACGGGGATGGTAAGAAATGTCAAACATTGGTACAGTTAAACAACAAGCTACTGGACACACAACTGGAAAAGAGAAAGTGCCCAATGACTATTCGAAAAGTTAACCAGCCCAGGCCATGAGCTCCGCACTGTGTTGCACATGTAAAGCGCTACATTGCCGTGGGTTGGGTGTTGCCCAAACATGTTACTTATCTTCGCCATGCGAAGGGAACACCGCCTCATCGGTGAATAAAATGGAATGCACGTCCAGACTGTTTATAACCAAACGGATGGATTCCAGGCACTTCTGTGAATCGCGTGCATTCAACATTTGCACCTACATTGCACTGTACCGCCGGAATTCTTTTTCCGTCAATATCTGATGCACAGCATACGGTGTGGTTTCGCAATGTTGTGCGAGTTACCGAGTGCTGAGACGTCTGTTACTGCACACCACTTGCGCAACCGCGCAAGCTGATACTTCAACCGTGACAGTGCGAGGCGGTCCGCTTTGTTTGATGCTGCGAACATTTAATTCGTTGATAAATACCGACATTTCACACATATTATGTAAATATAAGTAAATAAATGACTAAATGTAAATTCTCAATCGTACATGGGAAATACCATCGAAGGCCTGATCAACTTGTACAATTAGCAATTGTCTGAATGTGAGGACAATAGTTGAATTCATGAATAAATTGGTGTGCTGTCTAATGGTGCCACTAGTGCCTCGGGACAGTCTGAGATCTAAGAGCATTGTCACGTCAAGTCAAGCCAAGAATTCGTTTATATGCACCAATGAAGGGTGAATTTTCAGCTCTAACACGCACGTGATCGAAACGGTAAAGCGAACAACACTGTAAGCTTACAATGTGCTCCCGACAGTAGGATTGCCTTTAGCAGTGCAAGCAGCCTAACAAAAGCTGACGGTTGTGTTGGATGCCAGCATAAGACGATAACAGCCTTTGTGGCGATAGCGTTACGGCGCCCATCGACCGGGCATCATATACGGCCAGGCTGTTTTCTCAATTCCTAGCACAGCGACCCACCTCTTCGCAGGGAACCCTTTTGTTGGCTTTTTCACCTGCGTGAAGGCCGACTACCGATCGATCGAATTATGACACGTCTGTTGGTCTTACCCTGCGGTCGAGGCATGACGCATTCATTGCGTTCCCTTAGTCTTGCCCTGCGATCCAAGCATAACAGGTCGGTTGCGGCTGCGGTGTTTGCTAACGTATACTTCTCACACACATGTCATACCTCTGTGCCCCGTGTCACCCCAGCCGGCAGAGAAATTTGTGCCAATGGACAGTTCGCAATTCAGTGTACCGGGGTACATCGGCGCCTGAGTGCAACCGCTTCGGACATGATTAACAAAACACACTGTGGGTACGGATATAATTCCACGTATTCAACTAGAGCACTCTTCACTCATTCAAATTTAGTACTAAGCTGCGTAATAAAGGTGTCCAGGTGTCTAAGCTATGAACATCGTTAGCATTAAATTAACTGAAGTAATATACAAGGAATAATAGAAAATTATAATAGAAGTAATTCCGCAGTTAATTCAGCCTGCGTGTGCTCTATAGTGCCGCCATTACAAACGTGCATAAAACATATACTACGTTTAAATAGATAGTAGCAAAGTTACACGTGAATTAGCAATTCACAGCAGTATTTACATCGGTGAATTTGGGTCACACTCTTCACTATACCATTTATTGGCTTCATTTTGATCTCACTCTCTTGCTACACTCTTTTCGTCGTTTAGCTTCACCTGCAAGCTCGCACCCAGAAGAATAAACTGACGACGATTCATGACGCAGGGAATCACACTGACTATGCAATACGCAATGAATGGAGCAATTGGAATTTTACCTGGAACGAAAAGGATTATATCAAAGGAAGATCTCAGATGCATGGTTCTGCCGCAACCGCACTTCAGTTTTATGCATGCAAGACTGGAGAAATAGAGGTTAATCTCAATGTTCCTTAAAATAAACGCTGTGGGCGCAAAATTTAGCTATGTCTAGTGTTAATCATTTTACCTCATTTCTACTAATGGTAGTTAGTGGTATTGATGCTGAGCTTTCTCCAAGATTTGTTATAAGTTTGGAAATCTTATCTGTGCCATAATCTTTGTGTTTCACGAAACTTCAGGCACCATAAAATTGCCTATGAGGAGAACTACTGACCTGCTTTTTCTACCGACTTACCAGTGCGTTACATTTCAACCTAGCTTTGGCAGAAGACGAGTTTCGACTCCATTTCGTGATCGTTCTTAGCAAGAATTCTGTAATTATTTAGTCTGAAAGCAGGGAAGATACTTGGAACCGATCCAACAGTCATGAGTTCAGGAGCTTTGGGGTTTATAGCGAACAAGCGCAATAATCTCGATAACAGTCATATGGGTCAATGCGTTATCACATTTTGGATGTTGTCGCAACTGTTTTCCGTGGCAGCGTGAAGTAGCCAGGTGTTCCTTATGCAAAAGTCACATTGCTAGCTAAATACTCGGTGATGGTAATGGTAATCGGTTTTCACTTTCTACCGCACTCTGGGTGATAGAACGAAGCTTATATTTGACCGATTTGTCGAGAGTAAGGCTGTCTGCCATAACATGTTGTTCGTTTTAATTCAAAACTGTGCACTCAGGAACAAGGCCTTGATATGGTGTCGACAATATCCATTGTGCTGGTGAACTTATAATGGGAAGAGTTCGAGGATACTCAATCAAGCAATCAATCAGTCAATACGCGTTAGTTGCAGGTGAGAAACCACCTCAATTAATGTGCTGCAGTAGAGAAAGGCAAGACACAAAACAGTTACACTTCAAAAATTCAAGAACAGGTACTATGCAGTTAAATATTATATTATGTAATTCGCATGAGATCGGAATTGGAGGGCGAATCTAAAAGGGAGGGGGATGGACAAAGAAACTCACAACAAGAACGACATTGGGGCCGGTTGTTCGCCATATCAACAAGTGTATCCAACCAAACGTGTTCATCGTTCTTAGGACCCCAGCCAGGCAGCCGGGATGCACCAACCGACACCAACTTCGAATTGAGGGTTTTCATTGCTCTCGACCAAGTCATCACTTGGCCTCCCTCCGCCTCTACCAACCGCACTCTCGGAGCGCAAAAATTGCACGTCGCGGGAGTCGGTGTGCTGGCATGCGCAACACGTGGCTCAGCCATCGGAGCCTGGTGCATAAACTAATGGTGCTGAGTGGTTTACTAGTTCTTCCTGCACTAACTACGCGACGCCGAAAATGCTCATTGCTCACGCGTTGCTTCCACCACATGAGCTAATTTGCGAAGACAGCGATGGTCGAACGTGACTAGCCTCTTTATGTTTGTCGACCTGATGGACTGGTTTCACAACCGTATAAGAGGGTTTTGCGGACAGCCGTATTATAAACTCTGACCTTCAGGACTAGAGTGACGTCACATCTACGCCACAGGTGGCGGAGCTTGGCAAAAGCAACTAGTGCTTTCCCTATACGGTTTGTAATTTCATCATCAATCCCACGGGCGTTAATATAGCTGCCCAGGTACTGGAATTTCTGAACGACTTCTAACTGATCACCACCGATGGTCAGCGCAGGGGCAAATTCCTGCAAACCTTGGAGAAGCACTTTGCTTTTTGATGGATTAAAGCATAGTCCACTAGGATTGACAGCTAGTGCTAATCAGTCCAGTGCTGCTTGGCATGTTTGGGAGCTGGTGGAAAGTAGAGCAATATCGTTTCCATACTCGAAATCAAGAAGTCGCTCATCAGTGCTAAACCAATGGTCAAGACTCGCAACGGAGTGGATAGGGACGGTAGGAATTCCGTACGAGGAAGGAACCTCGGGGGGAATTCGGAGTGTACTAAACTGGGAGAAGATAAGCGTAGTCTTCCAACGCGGCATAACACTACGTTCAAACCTAGTGTACCTATATGGCCCGCATCCCAATGATATGTCAGTTAATTGTGTCTATAAAATTAAGTGTAAAGGATGTGCACATGGACCAAACGGCGAGAGAGCTATGCACACGGATTTCAGCAGACAAAAGTCGCATTTCACCATTGCCGACCAAAGCTTTCGAATGACTGGTATTGTTACGAAAATCGGCCGTGGATGTGCTCGCAGAAGACACGGGTCACCAGATGGACTTGGATGATGTGGAGGTCATTAGTGAGTATGCGGGCAAATCCAAGTCCGTTGATTTCAGATGAGTTAGGATTCGACATGGCCGACAGCTGTGTGAATGTGGGGGTAGAACTCTCAAGTGTGGTCGACCTTAATCCGGCTAGTCTGACGTGCGTTTGTTTTAAAAATCTACCCCCATCTCCATCACCAGCTACTTAGCTAGCTATGTGACTTTGTATAAGGGAGCACCTAACTAATTCCCGCTGCCACAGAAAACATTTGCGACAACATCAAAAACGTAGCTGTGATAACACCTTGACGCATATCCCTGTTGTCGAGATTATCGCCCTGGTTCGCTGTAAAACCCAGCCCCATTTGTATACTGATTCACCTGGCGTTTGTGTCAAAAGATGAGCGTTGCCCTGACAATACACCCACAGACCGTTTCCAAACCTCTCTAAACTCAGATTTATTGGCTTTTCATCAATGCCTTGCTGATGGCAGGCTAGTGCTTGTGTCTGCAACACTTGGGATGAAAAGGCGATGACAACTACACCGTGCCATACTTTGTGTTTACTCTGTCATAGTTACCAGTTGCTTTTGAGAATCCATGCCGTATATGTTTGGATTACAATACGTAGTCTCGGTCTGATCGGGATTTACTGTCAGTTAAACCACAACCATTTCGACATCCGGGACCACAACTGAACTATACAATCTGTTCTACGTGAATGTTGAATATCGCAATCCAAACAGACGATGATTTATCAGCCACTGTCGACCGAGATGCGTGGTTTGAGGGCGAAGGAGTCTACAGGTGATATGCAAGACTCTCTAAAGAGTGCGAACAAGGACGAAATCACGACATTGGGAGCGAATTTCGTCTAATTTTTGTCAACTAACCTACCTCGTGTATCCTGATAGTCGCCAAAGTCAGATGATAAATGCAAAGTTCCTGTTGAGTTAAGCTACACGTGAGCATGATGTATATTTCGTTGGTGCATAGACGATCGTAACTGTGTCTATCTGGTGGAGCGCTTTAAGTCTCATGCAAATTGCGCACATTGTCGTGATTATCAGGAATGCGATTACCAGTGTAACAACTACGGCTAAATATGGAGGACAGGTTGAGCCACTTTAAACAGAAATTATACTTATGATCACTGGCATTCAACGAAGTGCATCAATAATTTTTGCGTCAATATGACTCACATTTATGTCTATGGCAAAGCCAGATGGAGGTCATGGGCGGAAAGCCATTTCAAGCAGCCCACGGGGAACGGTAGCCCTTATTTCCTCACGCTTAACCTGCAAGCTGGCATCCCATCGAATTGGAAAGTAAAGCCAAACGGTTTGTCCCTTTTCGTATGTGTATGCATGGATACCACTAGCATCTCAGTCTGATATCTGCATGGAACTGGCCAACTGTTGTGCGGCACTTGTATGTATTGATACTGAGCTGACAGTTTTCATTCAGGCTAACTAATCGTATGCGAGTGTTTATGGAGTGTGAGTGCGGACATCAAAACGTTATCACAGTGCGACCAGTTGATCGCATTCTCCGGACTGCACTCAGAAAAGTCCATTTTCTCTTTGATGAAAAGGCTTTATCTGGTCGATATGTGTTTAACCTATCCAGTTCAAATCTAAAATCCTCTTCCTGGTGCGTGGACACCGCAGTTCCTTCAGAAAACATTCACTACGTGAGATAAAACCGCTTAATCCGGGGAGCATAATCGTGCATGCTCAGAGAGAAGAGGGTGAAACGACGTAACTCTTGCCGTAAAGTTGAAGGTTTCAGCATTTTGCATGATCTACGTGATCGTATATTGGTACAGTGTACACTCAAATAACGCAAATTGACTGGGTATGCAACAGGATGCTTGCGTTGTGAATCAGGTCTTGCTTTTCGACGCGCTATCAGTATATAAGCCACAGGTGATAACAGGTCACATCGTACATGACAAGGATTGATACAATTTCCTTCTTGTCAATAATCGGAACGGACACAATTTAGGGAAACATCGGTGCAAAGCTGCGTAACTAGTTTGGGGAACTGCAACTCATGAACTCAAGCACTGAATTCATGCAAGCTGACCGCAGTTTACAACTGTTTAAATCGCCAAATCTGTTGATCCATTTAGATTGTTGGACCGAACGGCACAGAGAAAATCTGTTTTCAAATTCCTCCCATTTGTGAGCATTTGTCAGTGGAGATCCGGATTCGAATGCTGGCAAATTACCCTTTGGATGAGCATTCTTCGAAAGTAGCCTCGTTGTTTGATCATCTGAACGAGATCTACGCCGAGATGCTTTGTCAGAAAACCTTGTCGGGTATGTACGAAGGTGCTTCTATCCATCATATTTATGAAATAAAATAAAATGTATTTTCTCTATGTTACACGAGGCACACCAAAGAAGGCGTGCTCAGTTTTCTACAATCGGATACGCAAAAATTGCTGTTTGATTAAATATTGTTAATCTTGGCAAGCGTAAGTGATGAGATTCTTGAGATCGAGGACATGAGATGTGTTTGTGGTAATTGTTTACATGTTAAAATAGCAAACTGTTGCGAATGCGAAAGAGCCGATGGACGCGAATGAGGATTTAGATATTTATCACAAGTAAATGCAGAATTAGTGACTCAAATTGTCTTTCGGTCAGTTGGATTGTTTTGACCTTGAACCGATTGCTTGCTGTTCTATCCACAGTCACCAGTCATCCACTTTTTGCCCGCTTGTCGTAAAATCTGGCGTCAGATTTTCTTGAGCCGTATCCAGTTGACGGAACCTTGAGGCTCATGTGAGTGGGGATCGGAATCACTGATGAGGGATTTTTTGCCTTCATTGCAAGGTTCCACATATGCCAGCATGTCTGACGCACTCGGTTGCGGGTTCTTAATGACATCGCACATTCGTCACAACACCAACCGATTACGGATGTGGCTGTCATATGCAACCATTGCAAACATTCATGGCAGAAGGAAAATTTCGATGTCAATTGTTCGTTTCCCATCTCCAGTGCATACAGTTGGTGGCCATTCGGTTTCCGACCCGTTTGAAGATTTCTTGCTCTAAGTCATTTGTTTGCGTTGTAACCAGGCTTAGTTGCAAAGGCTCTGTGAGCACGGTTAAGACCCAGCTCGTGGTAGCATTTGGAAAGCGGAGCGCCATTTACTACCGGCCCTACTTTTTAGTTTACCTCGCTTGCTTTAAGGGCCCATCCAACTGGCCATCTGCATTGATTGAATGACAACCAACATCTAAATGGATATACAGACATTGGATCTCGTCAATTGACCTTTTCTGTGGACCACTGCACATCATGTATTATTCGATCGATGAGTTTCCACCAGTGTCCTGTTGGAACTCTGCAATATGCATTTAATTGACAGCGATACGCACCAGTTGTATGTAGCCCGTATTTTAAGTTCGTTATATATATATATATATATATATATATATATATATATATATATATATATATATATATATATGGTTGGCGGCATCCGGTTTCGGATTTGCCTGTCACTGAGGCAATCCACAGGACGCCTGCGCCTACAGAGGGACCATGGTTGGCTTGCGTTGCACCACCCACAGTTCCATCCACACACACCCCATATCCAGTGTAAACCCGAAGGAATAAGACCGAGAGGCAAGTGGATGGGAACCACGTTTCATCTGCGGAGCCGGCCCACACTCCTTCACAGCCGAACACAAGCACATTGTACTTGGGAATCAAGCGCACACAGGACGGTGGCTGGACCATAGTCCCTCCACACTGAGTGCATGGAACCACTCTTCGAGCCTAGCACCACCACAAGAACCGTGCACCCCGTCCCCTCCAGCAACGACCAATTGTCTCCTGGAGCCAGTATGGACGAGGTAGTGGGTAATAGACAGGTAGGCATCTTGTCAAAATGCACCTCAAGCGCAACCACACCTGGGATGTCAAACAACAGCCAATCTTTCGAAATACTGATATCGGATAAAGTAAACACATATGACAACATAAATACTCGCTAAATGAGCAGATGGAAGAAATTGATTAATGGTGAATACGCGATAAGCACAAAATGTCCGAAGTTATTTAAAAAATACCACGCGAAAATTTACGCATGTTTACGACAATTTGCATGAGCGACGTGTGCAAGTTGGGAGAAGATTATCAAGTACGCAGAATAAACGAAATAAAATGTAATGTATATATATATATATATATATATATATATATATATATATATATATATATATATACCAAAACCACCCACTGTCTTGTGGGTCAGACTATTGTGCCAAAGGCTCCGAGTGGCTTCCCTCAAGCAAACCCCCGAAGCACATGCGCCACCTCACGTGCAATTGCCCCACTAATGCAATCGTATGCCTGCACGCAAAGCACTCAGCATCAGGTGCTGGAAAGTGCGCATACTACATCGATATTTTGGCGCTCAGTGAAACCCAACTCGCTGAGAAAAGTAACTTGCATGAAGCAGGTGCTGGCTACACATTCTACTGGGTGGGCAACACCGCCTCAATACCATGTGATCATGGTGTCGGATTTGCAAGATTCCATCGCCTCCATGACCAGCTCGTGGATGAACCAACAGGCATCAGCGCGCCGCTGATGACTGTTCGCCCACGGTCTGTGCTGAGGAGCGACCGAGTATTTCTGCTGGATGATTTCAACGCGCGTTGGGCGGGATGAATCGGTGGGGACAGATATTATCGGTCCGCATGGCATTGGTTCAGCGAATTCGAACAATGACAGGCTGCTCTCACTGTGTACCACTCACGGCCTGACGATCATTAACACTCGGGTTGCACTGAGTGCGAGTGATATAGCAATTTGGACGCATCCACTGAGTGAGCAAGCTCACCCGCTCAACTATGTCATCGTACGTCAGCGTGACATGCGTGAAGTGCGCATGCCACGTATACTGCGCGGAGCTGATTGTGGCACTGATCACAAATTGGTGCCGAGCATACTGGACATATATTTTCGTAAACCTATGTATTGCACTCCCGCCGTGAATCGGTGTAAATTTAACATTCTCTCCTTCGGTACTGTAGTGAAACGTATTGAGCTGGAGAAGGTGATAGTGGCACGGTCGTGTGATGTGGACTGCGTAGACACGATGGGCGACCTGTGACACCACGTTCGCGACCAGATGACGGCTGCTGCCGAGGAGACCATCGGGCGCGCAAACCGTAAGCGGCCTGATTGGTTTGGTGAGAACAATGCGACGATTGGCGCATTGGTGTCAGAGAAGAATGCAGCATTTGCTGCATATGTTGCAGACCCAGCAACTTGGGGAAGAAGAATCAATTACGCAAATTTCGACAGTGACTGACTCGAGAGCTCCATCGCATAACATATACATGGTGGACGGGGAAGGCGAAGCAGATGGAATGCTACGCCGAACGCTGTAAACACAAGGAATTCTTTGACTCCTTGAAGGCCGTGTATGAACCAACGTTGGAGCCGCTGAGTACGCTGGTCGATGGTAGTTTAGGCGCTGGCTGTATAGAGATTGCAGCTATGAAGCAGATTTGGCAAAATCACTTTGACTGTCTCTTGAACAACCGTTCAGAGATCGACTGGTCTACATTGAACGGCTTAAAGCAGCACGATGTGAAAATGAGTCTGGCGGACACGCCAACACTGGATGAGACGCAGAGAGCACTTGCTCAGTTGCGAAACGGCAAGTGTGCCGGAGCCGACGGGATCCCGCCTGAAGTATTGAAACCCAGCGGACCTGCGTTGTTGACTGCGCTGCACCACTTGGTGCAACGTGTATGGATTGAGGTGGAGGTGCCCCCTGAGCTGAAGTATGCCCTTGTGCTATCACTGTACAAGGGCAAAGGGAGCATGCATGGTTGCACGAATTATCGTATCATCTACTTGCTGAGTTGTGTGGGCAAGATGATTGCTCAACCGCCTCGTCAGTCAGGTTGTGGAACCTAACGTGGTGTAAGAGCAGTGTGGATTCCGTTAGGGTCGCAGCACTATAGATATGGTGTTTGCGGATCGTCAGTTGCAGGAGAAGTGTAGAGAACGACAACGGCCATGGTACTCGCTTGTTGTTGAGTTTACCAAGTCATTTGATACGGTGAACCGCGAGGCATTATGGCTGGTGTTGAGTAAGTTTGGTTGTCCGAGTAAATTGATAAGTTTAATTGAATGTCAGCACAGTGGTATGCAGGCGATGGTGCAGCTGAGTGGAGAGACCTCGGATGACTTTACAGTTGTTTCTGGTGTGAAGCAAGGCTGTGTCTTAGCTCCTGCCTCGTTTACTATTTATCTTCATACACTTATGTCTTCTGCTTTTGACGCGGCTTTTGCTTACGGTGTTCGTGTGGAGCACCGTATTGATGGTGGGTTGCTGAACATCCGTCGTTTCGGTGCGAGAACTCTAGTCTGTGAGACAACTATCCGTATGTTGCTGTTTGCTGACGACTGTGCGTTGTTTGCACACAACGCGGATGAGTTGCAGCACATGACTAGTGCTCTGGCTTCAACAGCGACCAAATTCGGGCTCACCATCAACACAAGCGAAATTGTCTGTCTTGTTCAGCCTTCACCGGAGGTGCAATCTGCAAGGTTGCCGCAAATCAGCATTGGTGCTGAAATATTGCATGCCACCTCCCGCTTCTGCTACCTTGGGAGTGTGATGTCGACTGACCAGCATCTACACAGTGAGCTTCGTATCCGCGTGTCGAAGGCGGCAGCGGCATTCGGGAAGCTAGAGTCCCGAGTGTGGAACAACCATCAGCTTAGCATTGGCACGAAGCTGATGGTATACAAATCGATGGTGCTGTCTGTTCTTCTATACGGCAGTGAAACGTGGACGATGTACCGGCGGAATGTGCGATACCTTGAGCGTTTCCATCAACAGTGATTGCGACGGATTCTGCACATCGGATGGAGCGACAGAGTTGCTGACAAGAAAGTGTTGCGCGGAATTGTAATGTATGCAGTTAAAACCTGAGGTAGTTCGCTCGTGTGAGCCGTATGGATTCGACGCGGATACCGAAGCAGCTGTTATATGGTCCCCTAAGTACTAGGAAACGGCATGCGGGGGAACCGAAGCTTCGTTAGCAGGACATGATCAAAGTGAGCATCTCACGTTCTAATCTTGATTGCGGGTCATGGGATTCGAAAGCGGATGATCGGCGTGCATGGCGCGATCTGTTCAAGAAGGCAGTTGCCGAAGTGCTGGAGAAAGACCTCGTGCATGCAGAGAAGAAGCGGCGAGTTCTGAAGCAGCAAGCAGCGATATGTTGTACTCCATCGACATCGAGCGCATGGTGCTGTAGCACATGCGGTCGCGAGTGTCTGAGCCAGCCAGGCCCAGCGAGCCATGAGCGATGCCACTCGGGACCACCACCGAAGCGTCGACGGGTCCTGCAGAGTACGTAGGCAGAATCGGCGCAGTGTTTGTAGGCACGCTGCATTCGATTTATTAACTGCGTGCTTGCATGTTAAGTCTCTATTTTCGGTGGTGTGTTCGCGATCTTTTCCTAATGCTTTCCTTTCGCATAATAATCTCTGTCTGTACTATCTTCTATAATCTTGCACACGTCGCTGAAACTAATTGTGTAACAAGAACAACGGGGCAATAAAGCACGATCTGTATTGCACGTCACGATCTGTCCCACAGGCGCTCACGCCCACACACATATAGTCACATTTCTACACCACAACGCACCAGAAATGCGTTGCGGTCGACGGGCACCTTCGCCCGCCAATTGGCGACAATTCGGCAACTCAGCTTCGCCTATTTGCTTCGTATCTCCGCTCCTGGATTTGTTCGAAGGCTCTCGACTTGCTTGATCTCCCAGGCGTCACTCGGCTTGGAGTCATTCCTTGGGGCATAACAATCGGCGTCTTTGTCTGAATTCTTGACCTCTCCTCCAATATCGTTTGAGATCTTCCTGGAGCAGACTTTCTTCCCGTCGTCGCCCGCGGTCCCTTTTCCACTCGTCCGGTAGGGCTTGCGTTATGCTGACTGATTCCGGTGCCTCTGTCGGATACTCTTTCTTGCTCTTGTCGTTTTCTGCTGTTCCGTGTTGTCGAAGTCCTCCGCGCATCTACAATTGTAGTTAATTTCGATAACCTTTTCGCGTCTGTGGCATTTCCTTAAAATCTATTTGCTGACCTATTGAACTTATTGCGGATTCGTTCGTAATCAATTTATTTTATTCGTCCATTTACTGAATAGTTATGCCGGCATATCTGTATGCCTTATCCGATTTATTTTCTTTCATCTTGTCTTTTCAAGTGAATTACTATTGCTTGATATCCCGGTGTGGCTGCGCTTGATGTGCATGTTGACAAGGTGCCTACCTGTCTATTACCCACTACCTCGTCCATACTGGCTCCAGGAGACAGTTGGCCGTTGCTGGGGGGGCGGGGTGCACGGTCCTTGTGGCCGTGCTAGGCTCGAAGAGTGGTTCCATGCACTCAGTGTGGAACGGACTACGGTCCAGCCACCGCCTTGTGTGCGCTTGATTCCCAGATACAGCGTGCTTGTGTTTGCTTGTGAAGGAGTGTGGGCCGGCTCCGCAGATGAAACGTGGCTCCCATCCACTTGCCTCTCGGTCATATTCCTTCGGGTTTACACTGGATATGGGGTGTGTGTGGATGGAACTGTGGGTGGTGCAACGCAAGCCAACCATGGTCCCTCTGTAGATGCAGGCGTCCTGTGACTGGCCACAGTGATATGCAAATCCGAAACCGGATACCGCCAACCATATATATATATATATATATATATATATATATATATATAAAATATGGGGTGCAGGTATGGTGCCAGCAGAATGATGGCGGAGTAGGAAAACCGGATTCGAATAGAGAAAAATATGCAACCTTTTGGCATTAGGTTTTCACTCACCGTTTTTGAGTATTTTTTAATTGTTTGTTATAATGGTGATGGGAATGGAAATCACCGTAACACACAGAGATACACGTTCACTATTGACGTCGATCTAGAACCATGACTTGTATGGTCTTTATCTAGGGACATTGCAAAGTGAAGGTTTCGCAGAGGCACGTGGTCAAGTTATTCATAGTTTTGAATTATACCTTACTTAGGTATTTATATGTGGACCACTACCACATGAAATAGGAAAATTGTACACGCAGTACCAGTGCAGCCAAGTCGTTGCATTAGGTCAACAAAACGGTAGACGTTACTACGGCGTTTCATTAAGTTCTTAAAATTACACACACCGCAAACACTTTAAGTTACTGTGTTCATAAGTCAACGACTGATTTACTAGTTCTCGATTAACATCTACATTAAAGCATCTGTTCAAGTTTGAAAATCGATTATGATACCTTTTCGGCTACACTTTTCTAATTGCTTTCTCAGACCAAGGCTGGTATCGGTGGCTTGCCACGAATTCCCAACGGCTATTTGATGCCAGCTTTTACACAACGGTTTTCATTAACGTTCTCATCGCTTTCTACTTCCCCTTTGAGACGGATTGGCATCAAAGTAAGCGTTACATCGGTTACCTCAGTGTCTCCTCAATGTTCACCTGATTTTTTAACACAGCATTTTAACTGACTGATTTTTCAGAACGAATGTCGTCCCTTATGGCTCGTTTACGGTCGCGTCTAGCTGTAGGGCTTGTCTATGTGTAAGAACCGACGGTTGCAGAGATTTCTTTTCGGCAGATCACATCAGGCAAATATGTTTACAATGCTGACTGAGACAGGCACAATCGAATGGAAGCTAAAATGATACGTGGTTGGGAATTTGCACGGGTTCACTTTATTCCAACAGTAGTTAAATCGATCGGGTCAGCTGGTGAGGGCTTATGTTGTCGATGGAAGCTGTGACTTAACAACTATTTTTGCCGCCTGGAGCGGTGACAGAATTTTCCCCCTGCTTGAAGGCAGAATAGGCGCGTGAAGGTAAGACAACCGGCCCAGGGTAAAATGCACGTTTCTTTTAGGGGAAATAGATGATCATCTGGGACACTGAGGTAAATGTGGTGAAAGTGATCACAATTGGACAAGTAAGGAGATGGCTGTGAAGGACGTTTGCACAGGTGTGACACGATGCAAATGTCGTTGGCCATACAGCGTAACATTAAAATATGCAAACCTCACCTTAGTTGGAAATTATGCCCTTTATATTTAGTATTGAACAATCAACGGTACCAAAAATGTCGCCCCTGTCCCACACTGCCCTGCGTGTACCGCCCCCACCCCCATCCCCTTGCTACGCCTCTGAATGGAAGCTGACCTGATCTGACCTCACTTGACAGTGCTCACTGACCTCTTCGTGAAACCAGTTGGGTCAGCTGAGAAGTGAAGCCACCGTCGGTCATCAGCAGTGTTCCGTGCGAATGGCTCCTCGTTGTTGAATGCGCAACTTGTTATGTCCGACCGCTTGTCGAAACGACTGCATTCTACTCGCCAGCGTTTGCCCGATAACATTGGGCCGGATGAGCAATATCAGTCCGGCGCCCAGCCGTGTCTCATGGCGTTCGTAGTCATGGTGATTCTTTTCACATATTCTTGAGTCGGTGGATACTTGGCAGTATGTTCATTATTATTATTGTTGTTTTTGTTATTGATTTTTTCGGGGCACACCATCTTACACCCCATAATCACCATTTCAACAAATCTGCACATGAATCAAATCCACCTGAACTCATGTAGGTGAATCAGCATGAGTTCTTTTCAACGGTGAGCACGAACCTGTTGTTCCGGAATACACATATGTGGTCTAATATATTTAACCCTTGATACACATGTTTCACACAACTACCTTTTCTTTCCAGTGCGAACTGTATGGATACTCAAACATCAGCTTTACCTTTGGCCCATAATTCCTGGTTTTTGCATCACGTCTGCATACGTCACACCCCAAATCCCAGTGTACGTCACGGTAGCAATTTCCACCCTAAGCATGCTGACATATTTTGGAGCAAAACGGACCATTTTCCTCCTTGGTTTGGCAAACGTAAGTTTCAGATACTTGAGACGCGTAAGATTATTGGTTTATGTAAACGCAACTATACACATAACTGACAACAATGACGTGAGGTTCTGAGTCAAAAGGATACGAATTAAATAGCCACCTCCGAACATGTTGTAGCCGCTGCACACACAGAGAGCTGGTCAGACCACCACTTGTGCCCACGATATGGGTAGTAGAAGCTTCGGTTTTTAGGCAAAGTTTTCTGACAAGAGGTGCTCCTGCAATCGTATTCGGAACTAAGGGAATATACTGCACTCCCGAGCAGGTGATACGAATGGTGAGTTCGGGCAGTGGTCATTCCATAGACAAATAAACCGGTAGGAAAGGTGAGGGTTCGGTAACTGCTGCACACTAAAACAAAGTACATCTATTGGTACTTGAATCATAAGGTTAATTATGCGGAAAAAATACGAAATATATTTAGACAAGCATGGTTTGTCACCGCGTTGTTCGTCACAACTGAATGGTTGGATCAAGGAAGAGTCGAAATCGGGTGTGGTGAAATGGACCAGGGATTACGTTGCTGTTACTCATAATGTATCAGGACTATACTACATTCGCGTATTTTCGTTGCCACTTCCCGTTACCACCATTCTTGGTCATCTTACGTCCACCATTATGATTTTCAGGAGTGTTTGTTTGCAAGCCCAAAAATCGTATCAACCATTTTCAACGAGTTATGCCAACCTGTGGGACCAACTACGACTACAGTACTAACGAGCGTAAAACTTGGATCCCAGCAGTTTCCTGAAACGTTAACGGAATCTGGTCATACCTAATTCTGAAAAGCTAAAAGGCTACAGTCAGCTTTCCTTTCTTTAGCATTGCGCATGAAATGAAACCTGTGCAAGCACTATATCAAGGCATTCTCCCAAATTTCGTTACGTGGTACATTTAAACACAGTGGCACAAACTTTTGACTAAATGGATGTATTGTGAGCGATCGGGTCTCTGTTTCATGCAAAAATTCATAGTCCTAAAATTTATTGTTTATTATTAGTTTTTAGGCCACGGAAATTATAGCATTACATCTGCGTACAAATGATTGCTCACGCTTAATGGTTATATAGCACCTATCGGTAAATATAGTATTTCATTTGTTTTGTAATTTGTCGTTGCGCACGGTGGATTTCGAACACAGTGTCTTGACGGGACGTTGATTACTGGGCTACTAGTTGTTCCATTTGCTATCCCAGTCACGCTCAAACGCAATGTCGCAGGGGCGCCGCCCTATGAATACTCCGAGCTCATGAACCCTTGAGCTCACATTGGTGATATTCTTTCCCCGGGTTGAATGTGCACAGTTTGCAAGATATTCGCAGTTGTTGACCTTATTTCCATGTCCAAATTGTGTTCAAATATGTCCAATGGTTCCTCCCTTTTGTAGATGTTCAGTAGGACGCTCAGTATTTACATCATGCTGGAAAGATATCGCGTGCTGAGGCAGTCACAAACTTCTTTAATCACTACAAATGGAAGTTCAAGGTGGGACCGGGAAGAGTTCCAACAGATGCGTTCCAGTCGTCGAAAGGCTGGCTTTGGTTGGCATGAACGCTCGACAGTGGTCTCTCATGATGATTACATGGGATTGGTCATTTGTCGCTCCTTCCTACAGAGAGGGATCCAGAAAATTAATGGTTTCGCTGTGTCTTTCGCGCAGCGACTTATGACTACGAATCATGGAGTTCAAAGAAACATCTGCCTAGAACTGTTATTTCTTTTACTCACCTATTTCGGCATTGAAATTCATCCCTTCTTTCACAGCATCGTCGTAAGTTTCCCTAAGCATTGTATCTTTCCACTATTATATCTGTTCTACAGTACTAGGGCAACTCTTTTAACATCTTGATCTCAACAGGTGCTTTTTAGGTCACATATATTTGGTCCGGTGAATCTATCAGCTGTACATACCTTAACTATGTAGGCAGCTACATTAACGCTCGTGGGATCGTAGATGAGGTCACCAACCGTATAACGAAAGCTCGGGGTGCTTTTTCCAATCTCCGCCACCTGTGGCGCCGGCGTGACATCACTCTCGCTTTGGCGTGTGTTATGAGTTTCTTTTTACTCCCCTCCTTTTTAGCTTCCTCTCCAACCACGATGTCAATCCAATGCATCACCTGACTTTAGCATTATGCCACCTTTTTAGATTTTTTGGTCTATAATGTTTACTCCCTTATCCTTTTTGTATTGCGGCACATTAGTTGTGATGTGTTTCTCACCCTCGGCTAACATGCCTTTTAGATGAAGTTGTTGTTGTTGTTGTTGATGATGATAATGATTAACAGTGATTTGTAACGGATAAAAAAGCAGGTGCTTGACATTTCCCGAAGGGTGGTTAGAGTGAGAAAAGAAAGATCAAGTGATAATGGAATCGTCGGTTTGGGCGTTTACACATTTTACTGCACTGCAGTGTAAAGGAAGTTTGAAATTAGGATGTGTGTACACAAAGCAATAAGGGGAGTGGTTATTGATCACGTAAGGAGCGAGAAAAAAAAGCAAGGACAACGCTTACTCGTGTGCAGCTATCTTGGGTCGACGGGATACAGAAATCCAGTTTCTACAGTAGCAGCGCTTATAAAATTTTGTGCAAGTAATTTGGAGTGACTCATTCTCTAGTAGGGTCATGGCACCGTTTGCTGTGCATTGATGCCAGCATCTGGTGGCCATGGTCTATAGCACGTAGTGTAAATGTGACAGAGTATCATCAAGGCGTTTTTTGAAAAGGGATAGGGTGGTTGCATTAATTACATGTTCCGGGAGGTGGTTCCAAGGCTGTGACACTCGAAGTGAGAAAAAGTTTCACCGACATTCGAGACTGCTGTACTGCGTGACCAGCTTAAACTGATGACCTCATGGCGGGGTGTTTTGACTGAGTATCAGAAAGGAATGACATGTGTGGTTGGGGTTTCTCAGGATCAGGTACACCATTATGAGATCGCCCCTTAGACGCTGATAAGGTACACTGTATATTTTGTGTGTCTTCAGCCTGAGTGGGTAGGGGAGGCTGGTCAAACCTCTGACGCTCTTCGTTGCCTTACGTTATGCAATATGGAGCGCGGTCACATGGTGCGTGAGCCAGGGTTGCCACGCTTGAATAGCGTATTCCGCGTGCGACCTCACGTACGCACTAAACATTTTTGGAAAGACTGAAGGGTCAAACTTTCCGAAAGCTCTGCAAAGAAGGCGGAGGTACTGGTTTGTTTTCTTAGGTGCCTTTTCAGTCTGCCTCAAACAACCGAGGTCATCTTGATCTAGCACACCACGGTCGCACACGTGAGAGGCCTGCTGTAGAATTTGTGGTCCTAGGCAGTACTTGTGCATACTATTGTGCCGTATACTGAGAACTTTGCACTTGGTGGCGTTGAAATGCAGCATGTTCTTGATGGACCATGTGTACGCTTTGTCCAGGTCCTCCTGTAACACTGTATGATCCTCCACTGCAGCTATAGTGCGCCATACCTTTAGGTCATCAGCAAATAGCAAACAGTTAGAAGACAGCACATTCGCGAGATCATTTATGAAGACCGGGAACAGGTGGGGTCCAAGTACCGAGCCTTTAGGTACGCCGCACTGAACTTCGATGGATTCCGATAGGTTGCTTTGAACCCTCACATTCAGGTGACGTTGCACGACAAAGTCTCCTGTCCAGCCCAGAACATGATGGCCGATTCCATATTTCTGGAGTTTATGGAGGAGAATGCGATGGGCTATACTGTCGAATGTCTTTGAGTAATCCAGGTAGACCGCGTCGACTACTACATCAGCATCCACAGATTCCGTCCAGCTTGCACGAGAAATCAACAGATTAGTGGTAAAGGAGCGATTTTTGTGAAATCCGTTCTGCTCCGGAAGGAGAGGTTTTTATTTTCCAGGTACCCCATCAAAGCCTCAGCTACAATGGACTCCATAACCTTGGAAGCCACAGGAAGTAGTGTTATCGGGCGATAATTTGCTGGTTCAGCACGGCTGCCACTTTTGTAGATTGGCGTGATGAATCCGTGCTTGCACATCGTGGGGACGTGCATCTCGTTCAGACATCGTTGAAAGAAAATTGCTAGTAGCGCCGCCAAACTCATGGCAGCAACTTTCAACGCCTTCGGGCGAATGCCGTCCGCACCCAGGAGTTGACCTCGCACAGAGACATCAACCTATTCAGTACAGCTGCAGAGGTGAACGCTATGTGATTAAGCCCTGATGGCGGCATTATCTGTTTAGGCCAAATTGTTGTCCAAGAAGGTTGGCCGCCTCTTGTGCTGTTTGGGCTAACCCACATACTGTGTGTAAATCAGGAATACCACGCTTAACACGGTGCAAATTGTTTACGTGTCTGTATAGCAGTTTGGGATTGGAGCAAAACTTTTCCACTAGACCTTGTTGGTTCTTCAGTTTATCCTCCCGGACGAGTTTGACACAGTGGTTCCTTTGTATTGGGTAGACACCCCAGGTGTTGTCGTTCGGGGAGGCTGTGTAGGTGCTCCATGTCAAGTCCCTTAATGCTATGCGTTTACGTGTCCTGTTCCTTACGAAAGACTTCATCCTTTTAAGCTGGTAGAGTTTGGTTTCAGATGTCTTTGCCATGAGCTTGGTAAATATGTTGACGAATTCTTCGCAGGCCACCTCATGGGTCAATTCGACAAAGAATGACCAGTTTATTGCATCAATTTGGTCGGACAGGGCGTGAAACTTCGTTACGAGATGTTATTTCTCGGCATGCTCTCTAGGATAACCATCGTAGCACATGTAATGAAACACTAGGGTCGCATGATCGCTGCGGCCCCGAGGAGTATCCGTTATCACTCTCTCGACCATCAGTTCTTCATTAGGGAATATTCAGTCCAATATGGATGGTCTGTTTTTTCTCCTTAATCTGAGATCACTAACCGTATAGCAAAAGCTCGGGGCGCTTTTGCTAATCTTCGACACTTATGGCGCCGGCGCGACATCACTCTCACCCTGAAGGGTAGAGTGTACAATGCAGCGGTACGTTCGACCCTACTGTGCGGTTGTGAAACCTGGCCGCTTAAAGCAGCGGACCTGAAGAGGCTAGTTACGTTCGACCACCGGTGCCTTCGTAATTTAGCTCACATATGGCGGGAACACCGCGTGAGCAACGAGCGTGTTCGACGCCTTGTTTACGGCACAGGAAAAGGAACTGAATCTCTCAGCACTGTCATTTCACGCACCAGACTCCGATGGATCGGCCACGTGTTACGCATGCCAGCCCACCGACTCCCGCGACGCGGGTTGTTTGCGCGCCGGGGGTGTGGATGGAAGAAGAGGAGGGGTGGCCAAGCGAGGACTTGGTCCAGAGGAATGAAGGCCCTCACTTCTGAGCTGGCCTCGGTTGGAGCGTCTCGGCTCCCTGGTTGGGGTCCGAAAGACGATGAACACGTTTGGTTGGACACACTTGCTGATATGGCTAGGAGCCGACCTGAGTGGCGTTCGTGCTGTGAGTTTCTTTGTCCCACCACATCCCTCTTAGCCACCCGCACCAATCACGATCTCATTATTTAATTTTATATAATTCTGCATTGTTTTTTTATGCATAGTAGCCGGCTGTTAGCTTACCGGAACGATGCCCATCCGTTACCGGTAGCTCAGCCGATTTGCACCAGCTGCTTTTTTCTCCTTTTTTCTATGTATTGCGGCACAGTAGCTGAGGTGTTCCCCACCTCCAGCTAACGTGTACGATGATGATGATGATGAATCTGGTGGGCGTAGTGACGTGGCCATAAAGCGGGAAGTTTGCAACCAAATCTTGCAGGTCTGCTTTGAATTGCTTTCCTGGTGTGGGCTGGGATTCTATAGCATCTACGTTGAAGTCGCCGGTGAGTATAATGTGCTTGTACTTCCTGTTTATCACTTGCCTCAAAACAGCCAACAAGTCGCAATCCGTATCAGGAGTAGAAGATGGTGGGCGGCAAACAATAGTCCAAGCTCGGGCCCTCTCAGCCGGAAAATATACCAAATGGAGCCAGTACGTCGGTATCCAAATCGTTTATGGGTTCGCATTGCAGGTTGTTACGAAAGTAGAGGGCTACCCCACCACGTTTGCTTGCTCGATCCTTCCGGACGACGGACATGTCTGTTAGCGCAATTTCGGTGACAGCGCTGAGGTCCCAAGATGCTGACGTGTGTCGAAGTCTTAATTCAGCTAATTTGCTGAGTAGAGGATGGGCATTTGTGTACATACATGAGATCTCGGAGACCAAAAGTGTGTTAGATTAGATGGATGAAGCAAGTGAGTTTACGCCGACCAATAAAGGGTCGGCGACTAATCGTTTTTCGGATGGATTGAGGACTGTCGAGACGAATTTGGGATATAGTCAGGTATCAGATGCCCTGGATCCCTGTAGTGGCTCATGCTCTGCTGTATCCCTCCACCTACTGTGGCTACTGTTGAAATCGTCCCCGAGTCGGGTCCTGCAGTATGCGTTTTCATTGAGAGTTGTACCTCCACTGAATTGTCATTAGAAGGTGCTGGTGTTCCCACTGCTTTCAGACGAATTTCTGTTGGCAATCTGCTACGGAATTTAGTCCAGTTCTCTAGAAGGGTTTGCGCCGTTAGTTCTGATTGCAGCACAAGTTTTAACAGCCTAGGACAGCAACCCTTATGGTTTGGGGATATGGGGATCCTTGTCAGCGAGGTGACCACGACATTTTTGAGCGAAAGAGTCTCCCGGATGTAGTACCATGGCTCGCTGTCCTGCACCTGAGCATCGTCGTAAGAGGAATCCGTAAGCTCAGGAACACCGTGAGCAATCACTGTTTTCCAAGCTTGACTTTTTCTGTATCGTTGTTAGCGGGATCCACTGAACATTCTTTCCACGGGATTTCGGGTAGTATGCGCACTCCACTTGAGTTGTTGCGGAGACGATTCGCCGACAGCAGAACGGCCTCAGCCTCCTACGCCGAGTTTAGTGTTACTCGAAGTAACCAGGGTTCACCGTAGTGCAATGCGTTTGGGTGACGAGAGCTTGTTTTTTATGTCGCGGGATTAGCATGGACACCGATCGACGTACAGATGGAGCCCAACTGATTTCGATCGTCCGTCAACGTACCCTTAATTGTATTGGATTTGGATTCGGGGACATTTGTGCGCACACGGTTTAAGGTACCATGGTTGCGCCTGGTGACTACTGCTTTTGGATTTGGAGCCTTAGTATCCGGTGTTTTTGGTGAATTTGTGAACGGCACTGATGGGGCCATCCGTGCTGCGACAATTTAGGTTACCGGTGCTCTTTCCGGTGTTTGCTTGGCGGCAACCGATGCGTACGTTGCCGGCTTGTTCACTATGGCTGGTTGCCTGTAGCTTACGGTCTCCTATGTAGCGGACAGACTACTAGGTGCAACACACTGTACAGAAGTTGAGGCAAGCGCGCTGCAGGCAAGGATTTTACTTATATGAGAGGGGAAATGGAGTTGGTACTGCTAGAGGCTGAGTCGTTTGGGTAAATTTGGGATGCGTGGCTCTCTTCTTTGGCCTGACTAGAGAATTCGGGGTGTTATTTTCGCACACAAGTGCAGGTCCGTTTCCTCCCATGGGTGTAACCCTGACGCTCACCAGTTGCTCGAGCGCTTCTGTTAGTCTTTCACACTTCTTCAGTAGCACAGCTAGACAGCTAACAACTGGGATAGAATTGCATACTTGGCAGAACCCAAACACCTCTGCCGTGTTAGTGTACCGTTTTGTTTTTGTCGGCCCTGTCCCAAGACAGGTAGTAAATAAATAAAGCTTTTATTCTCGACTATGCGAGGCACGCCCATGGAGGCATGATCAGATATGTACAACTGTACAAACATTTTATGGCAACTGTAACAGTGGCAGTAGAAAATCGTTCATATGTCCATGATTGGAACTGTACAATGGTGAAAATGTGAAACAATAATTTGGCTGTCATGAGATACGGGACCTCAGCTAATAATAGATTGAGAGTCCTGAATGATCCATTGGAAGGTAATGGAAGAGCACGCTCAAGAGATATATGCCAATAGAGTGAGTTCGCGCACAAGTAAGGCAAAGGTAGACGTATCGTAGGAAGTAAAAAGACGACAGTATATGCAGATGTAAAAGTTCCAGTGTAACGATCCTATCTAGAATTGTGACGCTAGTTGACCTGCCAGTGTGAAGTTATGGGCTGTGACTTTATTCGGTGGCGAGTCACATACGCCACGCTGCAGTGTTGTTAAACGGACATTTGTGGCTTTTTATAGGGAGAACGCTTGCCAGGCGAAAACCCACCACGTCCTGGAACACTGCCGCCAATCCATTGGATGGCAAATTGTAACTGGTTGTGTCTTGTTGCTAGGCGTTCAAACACATGGTGCACACCAGACCATTTTTGACCACTTTAACACATGATTCGCATTTGCTCTTCATACGCGACAGGTTCACAGTGGGCGTGCTGTTTTAAGGTCACTCGTTCGTCACTTCAGCTTCCCGCGTCAGGGCAGGCGTGAGTCAGCGTGGCGCGCTGGCTGTCACAAGTGTTCCTTTGTACGCACACGTTGAAGTGGTGATCGGTTGATCGACCGATGTTAGGTCCGGTTGGTTTGGAACCCAGGAAATGAAACTACACACCGGTGAAAACAGATCGTGAGAACACAGATTCCTTCACAGATGCGTTGAGAAACGCCGGATTGGAATAGACTTAGGCTTTTCGGACTGTCTTGAGAATGCTGCACCGAATGGTAGTACACATAAGGGCAATGGGCACAAAGTGAATGTGTGATCCACTAGTGTTCAATCGCGGATGACAAGCAAATCGATTAGTGATGTTTAAAACGTTAGTAGTATAAGATAATTTCACATATAATAGATCCTTGTGTAGCGCTGATAAATCCGGTTCCGATGAGCGTGCGGTGACTACGCTGCGAGAAGATGGAGAGAAGTTAGAGATGATTAGTTCAAATGAACCGCGATCACGCACCTCAAGCGTGTGCTCCATGCACGATACGGCTTGTTAATGATGATGAGGATGGTGCTGATGGTGGAGGTGGTGATGATGATAACATACCTTAACTTTAACCAGAGATCTGGTAAAAGCCCTTATACTGTTTTCGCGGTTACCTGCTTGACATTGCGCCTAATTAACGGTTCGATAGCTTTGAAATCCATGACCTATGCTACCTTAACCCTATTAGGTTTCGCTAATGTACAGAAAGCCGCCAGAGGTTACGCGGTATGTTATGCGGATAACACTTACAAATCTCACTTGTTTATGGTGCGCACTAATAGCATAGCGAGATTCTGGACACGATTCACTTGTGGTTTTCAACCGACCACGTTATCTTATTCAAAAGCTTGTTTACTCTTTGTATCCTCTTCTCAGCTGTTGGACGTCATAAACCGAGAGGAGACACTGACCAACGTCATCAGAGCCGTCACGAAGAACGGTCGTTCAATAATGCTCACCGCGCTTCTCGCTTTGGTCATACTCTACATATATGCCGTTGTTGGTTTCCTATACTTCAAGGACGATTTCGTGCTGGAAGTTGAGCACCTTGGACCGCATACTTACTTTCATTGTGATGTGGCGAGCAACTCTTTCGCCACTGAGGAAGTGTTTGCACCAAGTACGTATGGAATAGAGTTATTACATTTCGTGAAGCACACCATAGCATAGTCGACAAACATTTAAAACCCACACTGCGCTTTTGAATATGATGGTCAATCTGCTGACCCCCTTCGAAAATTGTTTCATTTGGTCGGTGCTGTTTATTGTTGTGCTAGGTCGGAATTAAAGGGAGAAAATGCGTACTAAAATTGTCACCGCAGTGACACGTAGTGTAACCTGCCCGCTCCAGCTAGAAACAACTTGGCATGCACAAGTTTGTGCCTCATTTCCACTGATATAGCCATTTAATAAAAATCATCTGATCTTGAATCAACCTTCATTTGGTATCGAAATTGTTTTGTTTCCAACTCTTTCTGGGTTCAAAATATCTACGCCAGCAACAGTAATTTCGCTAACGATTATCAAGAATTTCTAACGCAAATGGACTAAGCTGTTGGGGTTCACCAGTGAAGCACCATAGCTGTGGCGAACAAGGAGTGAGCACCTTGTTGGCAGACTACCTGCCATGATCCACCTCACTTACCTTGAGGAACAACGGAACCAAAGCTGCTTTGGTTAAGTGATGGAATAGTGATTAACGAAATGTCACCCAGAATCATTAGCTTCAAGTGAACACCGGAATCCATCTTCGTAAAGAGCAAGTAAACAAATCAGACAGTGCTTACACGGCCCTAAACTGTTACCCTCTGTGTTAGCCTCTAGTGGGAGAAATCAGGTGGTTGTACAAAAGTAGCTGGGAATTAGCCCTTGCAAACACGCTTTAGGAATTCAATTGTTCATTTGTTCTCCGAGGTTGGCAGAGAACAAATAAACACTTGAATAATCAACCCGAGCCAGCAGTATTCTGATGCTTTAAAATGTGCACCATCGGTTGCTGGCGATTCCATGTCGTGTACAGTAAAGTCTCCAGCGATAAGAAGCTGGCTGTAAAACATGTTCAACGCAACCTAAAAATCATGGTACAGTTTAGAGTTCATTTCTGAACTAGAGTTTGGTGGGCGTTAATTTACGGCTATTGGACATGTGTCCTTGTTCCGCAACCATAGCCCGCACCAAAGCAAATCAGATGCGTGACTTCCTGAGTATTTGCTAAGTTTATATCAGTTAGCTTTGTACTAAATAATTACACCACCACCCGTTCCAGTTTAATCGTTCCGAAGCAGAGACATACCGGACAAATGGATCTCAGAATCGGATAGCTCAAGAGTCAACCAAGTATCTGTAATCATGACGAGGTCTCGCGGTTGGGAGGCATTTAGTTCTCTTCGTTCGACCAACTTACCAAGAAAACCTTCAGCATTAGTGTACAAACAAGATAGTGTTTTCATTGTTAGGAGTGCTTTGATGAATATACAATTTGTATTTGCTATTAAACCGACCGTTAGGTCGCCGACTTCCAATAGTTTTTCGGTTAGCCGTCGGTTTCTGAATTTCAGTCAACCTGCATGCCCCTGGGGTGTGTCCCGGATCAGGATGTTCATTTGCGCTTCGCTCTGTCCTGTAATGCGCCGTGAGTTCTGTTGTGTTGATCGCTTCACAGGACTGTGGAGATGAATAATTTACGACGGTTGGAAGTTCCATCGGATTGCTGACCACTCGTAGCAGTGCGCCTTATGCCTTTAACCGGACATCGGTTGGCAATCTGGTACGGAACTTCGACCAGTTATCCAATAGAACTTGCTCCATTCTTTCAGAGAGTAACACTCATTAATCTTGGACCACAGCCCTTGCAATTAGGTGATGAAGGAATAGTAGTTAATAATTTGACGATAAGCTTGTCCAGAGAGTGTACTTCATGGATGTAGCAATACTACTCTCGGTCATGTGTTCGCGCTTTGTGATAAAAAGAATCCGGAAGCTCGAGAACACCAAGAATATGGTTCTTTTACTATCGCTATTAGGAGGGCCGCCTTGGTTATCCGCTTGGTTTGGGCGACCTTTCCAAGGAAGGCCTGCTAATATGCACACCCGGCTTAGTGAGTTGCGAAGACGAACTGCTGCGAGCAGGACAGCTTCTGTCTCATCTACTGAGTTCAGTGTTACTTGAAGAATTCGAGGTTCACGTAGTGCACTGAGGTCGTGGGATGCGCTGTGCGTCGTAACGTATCAGGTTCCACCAGTATATCAATTGCACTGCAAATGGAATTGCACTGGTTGCAATCGTCTAGCAACTTGCTTTAATTGTGCCAACTTTGGACTGGGGAACATTAGTGCACTTGAGGGTTGACGCGCTGTGGTCCTGTCTATGGAATGTTGGTTTGCAATTTGTTGCTGGTAATTTGGGCTGTTTAGGTGTCACTGAAGTTGACAGTGAAAGCTGCCCCGTATCGCTGGTGCTGGGTACAGAAGATGGACCTACATGTGTCGCTACCGGTGTGTATATTGAGGCGACCGATGCGTACGTTGCCCGTTATTTTTTCTCTGCTATGGATTACCTTTGGTTCGAAGCTGCCGGTGGCATGACTGATTTTCTAGGTGAAACTCCCATGAATGGCGTAATGGCAGATACTTTGAATGTGACGCGCCCGATTAAGGGGTTAGGAGGTGTCAGAGTTAGTGGCGCAGATACTGTTGGGTGGCTTGTGTGACAGTTTACTCTCGGCTTAGATACAAGACACAGAGGGGCTGCTAGGAGGCAGGAACAGTTTTCTTTGATTCCAATGGCGAAGCACTGAGACTCGCCATCTGCCCAATTGTTTCGGTTAACTTTTCACATTTTTTTCATGAGCACAACTATACAATAGAAGGTTGGAAGAATTCTGCATACCCGGCAGAACTGGAGCGAATCGGCAAACTTCTTGATCCACTTTAAATCGATCTGACTCTCGCCACCACACTTAGCGTAGAATACGGAACCGAAGTCTAAGCAGGGCAGACCATTCCTAACCACGCGGGTATATTTCGGCTCTCCGCAGTTGTCGGAAAGTGGGACCATTTTCAGTGCCAGCATCTGTTAAAGCACCTGCTGTTGGGGTGCGTGATTCTCGAGTTCGCTGTTACACTGGCGTAGTTGACGGGTTTGTCACGTGAATGACGCACACTCACTTGCAGGATGGCTTGTTTATCGTTCGACTATGACTCACGTAGAATTGGACTTGTAAACTTGCTTTGTATTGGTTGGATGTCAGAGACTGTCACCGATGGGCGCAGGTAAACAAAAGTCACAAATTGGGCCTTAGCTTTCTTGGAAATGGTCCTGTAGGAGTAACCTTTGCATCAATCGATAGCGCGGAGAATCCTTTATCGAATGCAACTTGTCAGAAGTGAGGGTTATTAACAAACAACTAGACTTCACACGTAAAACTGATCACCAAAATGGCTAAAACAACGTGGGTTGCAGGAACCACGGCCTGTAGGGCATACTTCCGTAAAGTAGTAACTACTGAATACTATAAGTTGATCTGATTTCAGCGAGTGCATGATGACTGCGCGGGGTAAAGATGGAGCAGGGAAACCCCTTGACAGAGAACAGCGCACTTTTACCGACTCACCCTGGAATGTGGACAGCAGTGTAACGCACTGAGGAAGCTCATCAGGTTGCACATTATTATATTCTGACTGGCCCGATTAATACAACTAGTCGGTCACGCGTAGCTGAGCGGTCATAAGAGACCGTCTATGAGGAGCTTGTCGACCTGTGAAACAAGTCAGTGACAAGTAAATCAGAAGTCAAAAGCATGCGCTCAAAAATGTTGAAGTCCTTCATAAGGAGTAGGCATAACTTAGTGCAAGGAACGAGAGCTCCTGGGGTGGCCAAACAAACCAATGAAACCGGTGCGTCTAACTTGTTCCCCAGGATGGAGTAAAACACCAAGCTGACAAGTCAGTGTGCTCCTTAGAAAGAATTAACGGATTTCTGCTTTACACGAAGCACGTGTGCTGGTGCAAACTACACCGATTGGTAACTCTGATCACTTAAAGGTCAACTTATCAACAGTTGTCTACAGAAAGACAAATATTATAGAGGTTACTCGTTGTAAAGCTCGAGGGCTTATATGAGGACGGTCTTCGCCTCAGAATCTACATATACTAGAAGAAATGATTGCATCCACAAACTTTAGTAATTTTTTGGCAATGATGTGTGGGCGGACTGTGACCAGTTACCGAGTTAGCACAAACTGTGTTTCGATTCTCTTTGTCCACAGATCAGTTCTCATCTCCATAATTAATATATTTGCGTAGGCGCACGCAGAGTGTGTAAAAAGATACCACTCTGAAGTGAAAAAGTCTCTACTTCAATCAAGGTAGAGTTGCGTTCTCTAGACCACCCATATGTCCAGACCATACACGAAAATATTAGCTCTTCAGAGGTGTGACGGTGCTGAACTAACTTTGTGCAGTCTCGCGCTAAGTATCGAATACAGACGTAGAGGTTGAAGAATTAATCCTCAGATTTTGTTGCCCAAATACTAACACTACCCTTATCCTTCTTCCGTCTGACTGGACTGGCGCACAACTTTTTTATCTGTCCTGGACAAAAATGAAGTGCACAATAAAACTCTACAGCTACATTCTAAAAATGCATGTGACCCAGACGGGCTATCATCCGTTGTCTTCAAAGGGTGCGCCAATTCCTTGGCTCAGACTCCAGTTGATTTGTACACGCTGTACATAAAATAACAGAAAATTGCTGACTGTTATAGAAGTGCCAGCATTGCACTGGCGTCAAAGAAAGATTCACATCAGATACTGGACAACTACCTGCACTTCAGTAAATTTGCTCTTCGAGAAAATTATTCATGAGAAAATAATGACAAAGTCGATCAGATGTTCCTCTCCAGTTTGCCTATCTTAGTTCAAGGAATACACAAGGCGCATTGACCTACTTCGTAATTTCAGTGCTGGCATCAATAGACAAGACTATATCCGTGCGAAAATGTTTTTTGACTTCAGTAATGCTGCCGGCCGTGTAAACCGTGGGATTCTTTTGAGAAATCTATATGATGTAGGAATTCAGCCTTCCACTGTCCTCCTGCTAAAGTGCCATTTCACTGGACC